AGACCGCCTTCCAGGTGAGGGACGAAGCTGTTAACTTAGAACTGTTGAGACGAACTGCTGTTCACCTGTATTGGACATCATGCAGCAAAGGTTTTATTGGTCGTTTTAGGTTGTTTTTGAAAGCTGTAATACATGCCAGTGTATGTTTGGTTTGCCTTTCACACTGCTCCTATATCTTGGGGTGAATCCTCACCATGCATTCCTAAAGGAAACCCTCCTGTCACTGCATGGCAGAAGAACTTGTATGAATTTGACTGCTGTGGAATTTGTTCTTTTGTATAAAAAACAACTACTCGAAATAAAAGCAAAACTATTTAAATTCTCATTTCCAGAATGATGGAAGCATGTTGTATCTTTGAACACTGTACTTAGCTTAATGTACCATCTTATGCAGTATATATACACTGTATGGTTATATATGCATACATAACATGTACATTCATACCTGTGAATGAGTCTCTGTTAGTCCTTGATCCTAATGTTTCTGAATTGTTGATTTTGGTTGTGGGCTTTCCAAATTAGTCATTAGTCAATGGTGGTGGTAATGTTCTGCATTTGTTTCATTTTCCTGCTTTGCTTTTTCTCAAGATTCTTCTGACCAACAAGACACTAGATCCCCAGGAGCTGGACTTCCTGCTGAGATTCCCCGTGGAGCAGAGCAGCAGAAGCCCAGTGGACTTCTTGTCCCCACAGTCCTGGGGGGCCATTAAGGTGACCCCTCGTTCTCTGCTGTGTGCAGACAGAGCTCTTTCCTCCTGTTGCTCAAACGCTGTCCTACTTCCACTTGCAGTGGCGTTTTGTTCTGTTTTGACAAATTACTCTTCTGCCTTATTTTCCTGTAGTCTGTATGTTCCACAGTATTGAAAACTTGAAAAAAAAAGAATATTATTTCAGGGACTTGAAAAGATTTCAGTATATAATCAATTGTCTTCCCTGCCCCTAAAAGCTACAGGTCTTTGGGCAGTGAGCTGCACAGACGTGCTGAACACAAGAAGTCTCTATCACCCACTGTGTGCAGCCTGGTCTTCAGCAAGTCTCAGCTGAAGAGCTGGACTACACTCATGCACTATGTTCTCAAAATAGCATAGCTACGGGCCATTCGGTGCTTTATATATGAGCAGGAGAACCTGATAAAAACATTCTAAATTTTGACTTGGGAGATGGTGATGATATTTTGGCCATTTTGACCTTGCTGACCTAGAGAAGGTCCTAGCACACATCCTGGTGGAACACCTTAAGCGCTGTGGACAACATCAGATGTAAGCCACCCAAGATTTGGAAAATTGTTTATGACAACAATAGTAATATTAATGATTAATACTGCCACCAGAAAATACCTGGCTAATTATCATGATAATAGTGATCGTGTTTGTGATAAATATATATTGACATCTGCTTGTGCTGATCCCATTACTCCATTTGATTTTCAGTTCCAAGCTTCAGAAGTGTTGTTAATCCATGTCAGTCCCCATTAGTGGTTAAATTCCTACAGATGAGCATTAATAATATTTGAAGACATTACCAATATTTAAGAGTATTGTCATTAATTGCTTGATGATGATTAAGCAGCTGTATCAGATTTCCAATTTGAAAACGGCCCCTGACAGCAGTGTGGGATGTTGTAGCAGCCTGGCAAGGTCAGCTCAGCTTAGAAGGCATGACCTTGCATGACCTCTTGCTCCCCAGGGGTCAAGAAAAGACAGAATCACTCCAATGCTGTGACCACAATCCAGGGGTCGCCTGCTCCCTCAGGAGACCAGGGTTGCAGAGTTTGAGAACTGCCACTGATAGCTGTAGAAGATGATATGCCAGAGGTGTCAGAAAGGCAGTATGAAGGAGGGTCTGAGTGTCTCAAAGACTGTTTGACCAGGAGTGGACAGTCCTGATCCTGGAAGGCAGGTGTGTCTGTAGGTTTTCCTTGTCTCTGCAAAGCACCAGCGCCTGTAGAGCTGGGAGAAGTTAAACTGATTGCTAAATCCCATTAATCCAATAATGAGCTGATTTTGGTCATGAAGAGATGAGTGGGATGAAAACCTGCAGATGCACCGGCCCTTGCTGGCCCACACCTGGCCTAGACCTCACCAAGGCCCACAGACAATAAAACATTCAGCTGAAGTGGACAAGAGCAGCAGATCCAAAGAGGAGGCAGAGCTGGTTCTACCATCTGTACTTGAAAGTGAAGCACAGGCGCATTCCAACACACGGCGCTAGTGACTGCCTGTTGCGTTGCAGACGATGTCAGCGATGGATGAGTTTCGCGGCCTGGACAAGGATATCGAGGGGTCTGCAAAGCGCTGGAAGAAGCTGGTGGAGTCCGAGTGTCCGGAGAAGGAGAGGTTTCCGCAGGAATGGAAAAATAAGAGCTCCCTGCAGAAGGTGATCATGCTGAGAGCCCTGCGCCCGGACAGAGTGACGTACGCGATCAGGCAAGTTGTACCGCACAGAGGGCGGGAGGTCTGTGGGACAACATATTTACAAGGCAAAGAGCTCTGGACCTGAGCGTTTGCCTTGGCAAGACACATGAATAGAGTACCAGCATGCCAACAACACTACCAGTTCCTAAAGCACTAAGAAACAGATGTTGCTGAGCAGAGTGGCACAGCAGCCTGTGAATGAAGTTAGATCTTGGTTTGCACAGGTGACACCCAGGGCTCGTTCACCCACTGAACTGGGAGAGTTATTAAAGGATACGCGACCGAAAAGGATTCTCTGCTTATAAACATGATAAATACTGGGTTGTGGGGGAGCTGGAACCTATCCCAGCACAGCAAGGACTAGGCACAAGGGAGGATACAGCCTGGATGGGGTGGACATCCAGACACGGGGCGGAACCTGGGGCGGGTCACAGAGCGGGACGCAGACACGGGGCGGGACACAGGGTGGAACCCGGGGCGGGTCACAGAGCGGGACGCAGACACGGGGCGGGACACAGGGTGGAACCCGGGGCGGGTCACAGAGTGGGTGTCACGCCCTCTGCAGCCAGAGGGCGCTCCTTCTCTGTCCTGTCCTTAGTTTCCGGTCTGCTGTCCTTCCTGTCCCTCTCTTTCCCTTGGGCTATATATTTCCGGGTCTTGCACTCTGCCCTCGCTCAGCATTGATGTTCGGATGTCCTGAGACCCGCCTAGCACCAGGGCGCCCCACGTCCGCTCCCTGAGGGCATAGGTTTCTATACGGCATTCCTGAACTCTTTGCACTAATGAGCCCGGGCCTTTTTCCCGTCTCGCCGCTACACATATGGGTCTTTTTCTGCTCTCCTACTCCCCACGGTTAGTCCCTTTGGACGTCCGTGACAGCGGGACGCGGACACGGGGCGGGACATGGGGCGGGTCACAGAGTGGGATGCGGACACGGGGCCGGCGGACGCACAAACTCACACCAGGGCCACTTTTCCCAGAATCCAATAAACCTGCCAGTATTTGTTTGAACTGTGGGAAGAATTCATGAGCCCATTTAACAAAAATTACTACAATACTGGGTGCTTATAGACTAACTTAACTTGTTTTTCTTCTGTAGGCTGTGCATTAACTCACATCTCTAGCTGTTTAATGTTAAGAGCTATTTTAAAAAAAGTTACTTTTAACTTTGTTGACTGATGGCTTTCCTATATTAACAGACTGTGATGTTTAGTTAAATTTGTACTGTAGATGAAGAGACAGGGATTTCACTTGCCTCCTCATACAGAAACTTCGTGGAGGAAAGCATGGGCTCAAAGTATGTTGAGGGGATGCGGGTGGAGTTTGAGAAGTCCTTTGAGGAAAGCAGCCCTGCCACTCCTGTGTTCTTCATCCTGTCCCCTGGAGTCAACCCTCTGACCGATGTGGAGTCTCTCGGTGAGTCACTGGCCTTCTGACCGATGTGGAGTCTCTCGGTGAGTCACTGGCCCTTTGACAGGTGTGGAGCCTCTCGGTGAGTCACTAGTGCCCTGCTGAAATAAGGGCTGCAGCCTTAGTTATACAGCTGCTGTACCCTTAGCTGTGCTTTGCTTTGCGACAGGCGTTAGGACTTGTTGATTCTGTAATAATTCTGTGAGGCGGAGATTGCTGATTAAGGCTGCCACCTGTGCTTTCCCCTGTCCAGGTAAAAAGCTGGGCTTCAGGATAGACCTGGGGAAGCTGCACAACGTGTCTCTCGGGCAAGGGCAGGAGGTGGTGGCAGAGGCGGCGCTGCTGAAGGCCTCCCGAGAGGGGCACTGGGTCATTCTGCAGGTATTCCGGAGAATCTTCGCTCGGCACAGGACTGACAGGGACTGTCGTTCCAGAACTGTTGCCATTCAGCCTTCTGGATTTTATGTGTTGAGTACTGTTCATAACTGTACGTACTGTAAACGTCACTAGAAGGTGACAGAAAGATGCCCGTCCTGCCCCAGTGAAACAGTGTATCCCACCGATTGAAAAACCTGCTGTCCACTGCGGAGCCTCGGAGCCAGAGCCCAGTCCCCAGGACAGCCTGGGAGATTTCACTACCAAGAAAATCTCAGTAAATCCATCATCATCTCAGATATGGACTCAAATATAATTATCACCCAGTTTAAGTTTTTATTCTTAATGTCTGGATTATACATTTTATATTTTTAAATGTTGTTTTATATAGGTTTATTCTTCAGCACTACAGTACATGTACCCCTGCATTATAATACTTATAGACTATAGTAGTTCAGGTGGGTAGCTGCGTCAGCATGCGTAGGCTGCAAAGGAACAAGTAATAGGTTTATTCCATGCTGAAAAAAAAAAGAAAGAGAACACAACGTTTCGGCCGTGGAGCCTTCTTCAGGTGTCATAGACTATAGACTTATAGACTATAGACTATTATCACTACTGAATTGTAAATACAGTAAGTACATAATAAACGACTGTCACCACTGAATTACAGTTACTTTACAATACAGTGTAGATCGCTATCTCTGCAAAGCATTGCAGACCTCTACCACTAATTAATTATGGTCACAATACAGTGATATAGACCACTGTGATTACTCAGTTACAATTAAAATGCCACACAGTAAAGAATTACTGCCAATCACTACTTAGTTGTACCTGCAATATGACCACTTTCAATACTGAATTGCAACTACAGGACAGTATTATAAAGCACTATCACTCCTGAATTACAACAATGTAATGTATACTATATATAAAGATCATTGTCACTATTAAATTTCAATTTTACTATATGAGCCACTAAGATTGCAAAATTACTGTTATTGCTGTAAGAGATTAAGGGCCCATGGACTATCCATTCTCATTCTCCATACTCCAACCTGTCAACAGAACGTACATTTGGTGGCCGGGTGGCTAGGGACTCTGGAGAAACTACTGGCGAGTACCAGTGAGGACAGCCACCCAGACTACAGGGTGTTTATCAGTGCTGAGCCAGCAGCTACCCCCGAGGAGCACATCATCCCCCAGGGAATCCTGGAGAACTCCATCAAAATCACCAACGAGCCACCTGCCGGCCTGCTTGCTAACCTGCACGCTGCCTTGTACAACTTTGACCAGGTGAGAAGTGCAAGAATCTGACACCAATCTGAAAAGCACTTCTCAGCAGCAAGAAGGGGAGTTGAAATTCAGCAAGGAGGTAGAAAGCACATGTGCTTAGCAAGCCTAAACCTGTAAATCGTGAGCAGGTGCACAGGGTCCACCTCTCTTATTCCCAGAACAACCAGTACTTCAGAAACATGGTTCCAGGTGAGCCAGTGAGAACGAATTAGCCTGTTTTTCCCCATTTGATGTTTTCCCGGAGTCTCATTTTCTCTTTTCAATCTGATATTTTTCAGTTCACATATTTTTGTGTTTTTTATATTTTTGTCCACAGTCCCAGGCCTTAGCGTTTAACGAGCTGTAGAACTCTGTGCCTGTCTGTATTTGTCAGTATTCTTCAACTTTAGATTCCTGACAAAATCAACATTTATTGGAGAATTGTATACTCTATATAACCAGAACTAAAAGACTTGGAACAGAAATCTTGCAATGATTTGGGCATCAGATATTTTTCTAATGAACAAACGGTTATTCCATCTGGTGGTCCTTCACTGATCGATGATGTTTTGTCAACTAAATAAATCCACATGCCAGCAAGCTAATAAAATAAAACAGTCTCACAAGCATTCACCACAGAAGGGTTACATTGCTCTCAGACACCAACTTCAGAAGGTTTTTTTGCGCTATTGGGGTGTTTGGGTATGTGCTTATTCAGAGAATGTATGTTTGTCTAAAGTTAAAAAATATAATTGTTTGCCTAAAAATTGCAAACAAATCTTAATAAGTGAGCGATTTACAGCATATGCTCCTGTGTAGACACAAGGTTGTTAGGATTGTGCCCTGGGTGCACAAGCTGTTGATTGCTGTAGAACAGGTGTCCAGAGTTTTGCAGAACAAGCAGCTCAGCCAATTGTATTTTCATGTTCGTGACCCCACAGCTTTTATTGCTTAAAGTTAATTACTCGTGCAAGAGCAAAAACTGCTTAATAAATCCTTCTGCTGGCCTTTCATGTTATTTCAGATAAGTCAAAAGCAATTTTATATGCATCATTCTGTACAGGAATGTAATTATAGGCACTCAGATTTACATCACTACAGCAGGCTAGGGCAAGTGTAAGTATGACCTTTAATACACAAGCAATGTTTTCCTGTTGGCAGGATACACTGGAAATGTGTGCCAGGGAGCAGGAGTTCAAGAGTATCCTGTTCTCTCTCTGCTACTTCCATGCCTGCGTAGCTGAAAGGCGGAAGTTTGGCCCCCAGGGCTGGAACCTCAGCTACCCCTTCAACACAGGGGACCTCACCATATCTGCCAACGTCCTCTACAACTACCTGGAGGCCAACAGCAAGGTGGGCTGCACCCTGGCTTTCATACCATTTCATACCATCGTACTGCGAGCGCTGCACTGGGGGCCAAGGGCCAAGTACAAGAAATGAGAAATAAAGTACTTCCTGTACGTGGGGAACACTGGTGTAAGATCTCCCACCGTGGGGCGGTCCCAGGTGAGGGAACCGGTCAGGGCTCTCCCTGCGAGGGTCCGAGTCTGGGCGATGTCGCCTGCTGAGCTGCGCTGTGGCAGAGCTGGGATGAGATGAGTCCGCCAGCTCTCTCGGTGCCCGGCCGCACGGTGCCCCCCCTGCTCCACAGGCGCTCCAGTGAGCACCTCCTGCAGCGCTGTGGAGCCTGTGGGGTATCCCCCGAGACCCAGCCGGCCGGAGGAGCCTGTCTGAACCCCACCCTCCTCCCCCTGTCTCTGGGGGGCCGGGGCGTAGACACAGCTGGTGTAGCCCACTCCCAGTGAGCTTGAATCTAAACTTTCCAGTGTGAACTATTGGAACAACAACCACAGCAAGGAAATGGACCTTCAGTTTGAAGATGAAAGTCTTTCTTGCACGCAGTCGCTTATTTTCCTTCCTCTACTCTTGCAGTAGTCAGGCTGTAGGGCCTCTGACTCAGACTGCTTCTCAGCTTATTTCTCAGCTCCCCAAGAAGACAGAGGCGGGCTGGCCGAGTGTCTGCCTGCACCAGGCAGGCCTTCTACGTAATTTATAGTATGAAATGAAACATTATAGTTAAAAAGTCTCTGCAGCCAAAGTCAGTTACATAGTGCAGACGTGATAAAAAATCTCACATGCAGAATTTCCAGGATGCCTAGATTTAAATAAACGCATGCAATTTAGTTAAGACAATTCATGGATTTTAATAATTAGTGCAAGGAACATCTCGGATATTGATCTGGTAATGTCTGACATGAAAGGAGCATCACATGGAACGTGGAGAATTAAGACTCGTCTGAGAGATGAGAGGCAGCGAATTGATGAGCTAGATTATAGCTGACTGTAACTGGTATTCATCACTGTCAATTTGTTTGATAAATAAGAATCAAAGGACACTTTACGAAATCAAAGTATGTTTTGTCGATGTAAAAAAAACCCCACAATATCCGAATGACTCACTTAAAAACAGTTACTCCTGGACACTTTTTGGGAAAGAACGCTGAATGTCCTGAATCTGGAGATTCAATAGTGTGCATGTCAAAGCACTGACACAACCTGGGTCACAACCAATTATTTTACGTAGGATTTTTTTCCCAAAGAATAAATGTCCTTCATTATGTTAACAAAACAGTAGCTTGCATGTGCATATACAGAGAATTCATTAGGCAGCCAATGAAGCATTTGCTCAGATGTAATTACATGCAGCAAATGTGACAGTTCATAACATTACATAAATGATCACTGCAATTAGTGTTGATGATGGAAGCAATTTACAGAACAATGCAGGTACAAACGAGCGTGGACTTCTTGGATTTGTCACTGTTATGAATTCAGGCGGTTGCATTGCTTTGACTTTCAGGTACCTGCTTCCTCTTGAAACCTGAAAAATTAACATTCTTGTTGCAATGCCAGTAAACCCAGAAGGATTCAACAGTCCTCTAAAACGCATGTATTGGTAGCATTTATTTTGATAGCAGACAGCTTTTTCAAATGTTTTTGGTATTATTATGAAGGTCAAGCAAATAAGCTTGGTTACTTTTGAAGACAGCGCTTTGTGTGAAAATATCATAGTATCTCTGTTTACAAAATGCCTTGGGGGAAAGGATTTGCCTTTCCTCTGAAGCTGGAATCGGTCCCTTGCTGTGGATTGCTCTGGAACGCAAGGCGCTCTGTGTGGGTGTGCTGTATCACAGCTCTTCTCTACAAAAGCCAGAGGGGTGAACATTGGGCCTCCCTTAACACCCTGTCTAGAAAGCAAAGCAGCCCAGATATAGGAGAAGCCAAGGTTAGCGAGAACTGAACTGAACCTGCGCAGAACTTATTCCATGCTGAAAAGAGAAGAAAAGAAACACAAAGTTTCAGCTGTGGAGCCTTCTTCGGGTGTTTTCTTCTCTTTTCAGCATGGAATTAAGCTTTACTTGTTCCTTTGCAGCCTACAAGTGCCGATGCAGCTCCGTGCTTGACCTACTGTGCAGAATTTGCTCATCTCTTTTGATAGACTATAGTTCTGCGGTTTTTTACAGCAGTGGATGATTTTAGTTCGACCTATTAATTTAAAACTTCCAATTTGTCAATAAATATTCACTCATTAGGTAGCAGACTCCTTTAATAATGTTGTGTACAATTTTGGTCACTACAGAACACAATAGATGTTGCTGCTGTGGATTCAGTCCATGAAGAGCAAGCAGATATTGTACATTCCCAGGCTTGTACTGTCAGGCTGCAGGAGGTGAATGGTTTTCCTGATCCAACCATTCGCAAGGTCAACCCAATCAATGTTTTCAGTATCAGTAACACAAGAGCAAACTAAGGGGATGTGGGTTTAAAACTGAGAGCGGGAGTCACTTCTTTTTGCAAAGGGATAGAATCCTTGGATGGGTTCGCTGCTGGTGACTAAATCCCAACCTCCTCTCATTTGTAGCCTACTACGATCGTGTGTGATTATAAGTGTCGTGAGCAGGAGATTTTGGCCAGAAGCGCAGAAGACTGTGGTCACATGTCAGCTCTCTCTCTGTCTTTCTCTGCAGGTCCCCTGGGAGGATCTGCGCTACCTGTTTGGTGAGATCATGTATGGAGGACACATCACGGATGACTGGGACAGACGACTGTGCCGCACCTATCTGGAGGAGTTCATGAACCCTGCAATGGTGACTATGAGAGCTGTCCTAGCCAGGAGCGTCGGCCTCAGCCCTAGACTCTCCCCTTGAGTCCTGCGTTAGAAGTCCTAACGACAGTGCCAACAGATTTATCTTAAGATCTTTAAACATAATTTAAACGTGATAGAAATTACCAGAATCACACGTCATTTAAAAGGCTTTCTTGCCTCTGGAAGAAGAAAACAATCCCGAGAGCCCACATAACAAAGCTGTGTTAAACTGAGAGGGGGTCTGGAAGAGGAAGGCTGGTCTCCCCTCTGCCTGCTCACAGTAATACAGGGTGGAGTTTAGGGCTGGTGTCCTCTGTAGACAGGTTCACAGTCTACAGAGGACTTCACAGTCGTGAAGGACCTTTATTTGCACTTACAAGCCACTGCCTGCAGGTGGAGCAGCGACCCAGATGAGTTGAGAAAGCCCACCTGCTTTAATCAGAACGTAGTCGATTTTGGACCCAGCAAATGGCACAAACTGCACAGATATTCTGAAAATACTCTCTCTTCATATCTTGAGGTTCCTTACCCAAAATGTGTAATACAGATGATTAACAGCAAGTTTTCCCAAAGGATAACAGCGCCCTCTGCTGACCAATGCCTTTATGGAAACCTTTTTACAGAAATTAGTTTATATAAAATGTTGTATATTTAAATTAGATATTTTACAAATATGTTGAATTTAGCAAATTGATATTTAATTTGCCTTTCCTATTCTAATAATGGTATCCTTAACATTCACTGAAATGGGTTGATACATGCCATGATCCATAGTATTAGTAGATTTCTGTGCTCTGGATCAGCTACTGTACTGCTGGTGTCCCTACTAGCCTGAACACAGTTAGGATTTAATTTCACTAATTAGACTCCTCTTGTGATGTGTTCTGTGTCCTGGCTGTCTTCTGTTTCCTCTATTTGAATTATTTTGTTTTTTTGTGGGTTACAAAAGGTTGATATATCATTTTTGGAGGATCATACATGGAAATGTTATAAATAAGTTTCTATGGAAACGTCCTGTTTCTCTTGGGAATTTACTACGGGCACCTTCCTGTTAATTTTATTAGGGAAAGTAGGAGTGTATTGTAACCCTATGTATGGATTTGTGGGACACAGCATGTCATGAAGAAAACGCTCAAACACTTTACTGTGGATGTCCGATTCTACTTCAGAAGGAATGAATCCTCTTTTGAGGATTGCCTTAAATACCAAGGTATTCGGTTTAGGCTTCAGAGAATCTCATTAAGGATTAGGAGCTGAGCAGCCATCTATCAATGTGCTCAGCGTCGAGCACAACGACATTAATCTCGTGCACCTATGAGTATGCCTAATGCCTAATCCCAGTCTAAAGACAGGTGCGTAGATAAAAAAATCCTTCTTGGGAAGGTCCTGTTTTCCATGTAGTAGCCAGGTCTTGCTGTGGTGTAATTATTGAGAACGCTGACCTGCCTGTTTCCACAAGGGTGGCGGGGTGGCCTGTGTGCTGCACCTGCAGACAGTCTCTGTCCTCCATTTCCAGCTGGAGGGGGGGCTGTTTCTCTGCCCCGGCTTTCCAGCTCCCCCAAACCTGGATTACCTCGGTTACCACGAATACATTGACGACTCGCTGCCCCCCGAGAGCCCAGCGCTGTACGGCCTGCACCCCAACGCCGAGATCGAGTTCCTGACCGCGACCTCGGACGCGCTGCTCCGGACCCTGCTGGGGCTGCGACCCCCTGGCTCCGCGGACAGCGAGGTGGCCGCGCCCAGCGCCGAGGAGCAGGTCAGGCCGCACCCCCTCCAGAGCGGGGGGCTCCCCGGCAGCTTGTGTAACCTGTAAAAAGGCTGGGCTGACCCCCAGCACTGATGCAGAGCCCTCACCGAAGAGGAACGGGCCAAAATACCCCCCCTGCCCCTGTGCTACAGGACACAGCTGCTGAAGGAGTTACTGAATCTAAAGGTTCACATGCTTCTTCCAGCACAGACAGGGAATGTTTAATGTGTTCAATACAGCTGAGAAAAAGTTCAGTTCTGTGTGTATTAGTTTAATCAGATTGTGTCTATCTATTATTATGACTCAGAAGATCAGATCACACTTGAGGTGTAATTAATGCTTCTCCCAATTGGTTGCAGCGTACTGGTGGAATAGGGTATAAACAGTATCTGTGATGGGCTTAATATTGAACTGTCGCTTGTTGTTGTTAAAATCCATGAAATGCCTTAATGCCTTCCTTGTGTTTTTTTCAGGTTAAAAACACCCTTGACGGGATTTTGGAGCAGCTCCCGGAAGAATTCAACCTGCAGGAGATCATGCAGAAGACACCGGAGCGCAGTCCGTACATCCTGGTGTGCCTTCAGGAGTGTGAGCGCATGAACCTGCTGATCGAGGAGGTCAGGAGGTCACTTAAAGAGCTGGACCTGGGACTGAAGGCAGGTTATTCCACAATTCCCAGAGCAGGAACTGAGCACTTTCGATCAATCATGTATCGCGCCGTTTGTGGAACCGGGCTGGAACGTGTTGTTTTCTGTCTTGTCAAAGTAGGAGAGTATTGCTTTTTACATCATACGGTAGGAGTGTTCAGCAATGCCCCACACTCCGAAGTAAAGCCAGATAATCATGTTTTGCCTTCAAGACAGGCAGCTCTTGGGCTTCTGTGTGGTTTCTGTGGCGGCTCAGGGACACTTACTGTAGATGCGCAGCTCTAGCAGTCAGCCTGCAAATAACCTGCTATTCAATCCAGTATCCAGTCCCTGCGATATCAGATAAGAAGATAAGATCACTTTATTGGCCATGTACAATTTCTTACATGAAGAATTTATCTTTTTGCATACCCCAGTAATGCCCAGCTCGGAGACGGGGGGAGAGAAGCTTGGGGTCAGAGCGCAGGGTCAGCCATTTATACGGCGCCCCTGGAGCAGTTGGGGTGAAGGGCCTTGCTCAGGGGGCCAATGCAGTAGGATTCCTCTGCCGGCCGCGGGATTTGAACCAGCAACCTTCTAGCCACGGGCGCAGATCCTTAGCCACACTGCTGCTGCTCCAAACTTTTTTTGTGTGATAGGAATATATATATATACCCATCGTATGGATACAGTCTGGGTTAACCTTCCTGCAGCTGTCTTAAACTCTCTGTCCACGTCGAAGCAGGACCTCACGATATTCACAATATATTTTATTTGACTTTTCAGGGAGAGCTGACCATTTCCTCCAAGATGGAAGTTCTGCAGTTGGCTTTGTACTATGACAATGTGCCCGACTCCTGGACCAGGCTGGCTAACCCTTCCACCTACAGCCTGGCACAGTGGTAACGTCCAGCATCTCCCCTAATCCCACCGGCCCCAGTCGGTACAAAAAAGTCTTGCGCGGGCTTTGAACAAAATGTAGTTTCGAAAATTGTTTACTCTGTTGTACAGATCACCTTTATGCACAGTAATTAATAAATGTCGCTTGTCACCCCCCTGCTCCTGCAGTAGGGCACGTGGAGGAGTGAGGTATGACTGCACCAGCTGCATTAAGGGAAGGGTTTAGAGAGGCCAGACTGTGCAATCCTGAAATGAAATTTACCTGAGAACCCCAGGGAAAAACCCTCTCGCCTTTACAGTCAAGCCTACTGGATATTTAACAAGCAAATAGTCAAGACCTCAGCGGAAAGCATCAGCCAAAGGACAGCTCATCCTACAGCACAGCGTCTCGTGTCACCCTACTGGGGCACTGGACTGGAAATTCTGCTCCAGAGATAAGAGCTCCACCTACTGGCCACTTACAGCAGCAGCCTGGTTTCCTTACAGCTCTTGCCTTCCAGTACCGGCCAGGCCCAGCCTTGCTGTATCTGAGCTCTAATAGGAACAGGCCCTGACAGGAGCCCTACACTTTAAACAGTAGACAGCAGCTAGCATGTGTACAGAGTAAAGTCATCTGGGCAGAATTAACCATAATTTTAGTCACTTTTTTGGAGTGTTCATGTCCTTGAGTATATACTGTACCTGTCAGTGTATAGAATCCTAATTTTTCATGTAAAGGTAAGTTGCAAAATGCCGTCTGTCTTAACTAGAAACCCCTTCAGCAGCTGGCTCCTGTGTAGTTTGGCCGTGTGCGTGCAGGTCAAGCCTTACCTGCACAGGTGAACCTATAGGAGGCGCTGTCGCACAGGTGAAGCTCTAACAGACGCTGTCGCGCAGGTTCAGTGACCTCCTGCAGCGCTGCCGAGAGCTGGACACCTGGACGCAGGACCTGGTCCTCCCGGCGGTGGTGTGGCTGTCTGGTCTCTTCAATCCCCAGTCCTTCCTCACGGGTGAGTCTCGGCACTTCGCCTCCTTCCTGTTAAACGTAAGTCATGGCCACTCTCCCAGAAGCCAGCGCCGTTCGACCACAGTGCTTCTTTTTCCTCTTCACGGGTCAGTGCATGGTGCGGTAGTGGACTGATGACCGCGTCAGACTCGAGGTCACTGTCCAGCAGGGTTTCTGCGCCCGTTCAGATTGGCCCCTCCAGAGCTTTAGACAAGGGTGGAGGAGGTTCAAGAGAGCTCCGGACAGATTGTCTTGTCTTTGCCTTGCAGCAATAATGCAGAGCATCGCTCGGAAGAACGAGTGGCCTTTGGATAAGATGCGACTGACCGTAGACGTGACCAAGAAGACGAAGGAAGACTACGGCCACCCGCCGCGTGAAGGATCCTACGTTCACGGCCTGTACATGGAGGGTGGGTCCGGCCTGCTCTTTCTGTCTTCTGCTGGGGGGGGGATAGGGCTCGTTGTCACAAGGCAGCACGTGAGCACCTTGTTACAGCCTGCAGGGACAGTCTTATCCTGACCTTGATGAACTTCAATGGCAAGCTCGCCTGAACTCGCAGCGCGAGGAGTTAAGAATGACCGCCTCAGTGAACAGGACACGGCCTACGATGGTGCCGACAAGGATGGGTCGCCGCCCGCCTTTGTCTCTTCCTTTACTTTATGCTGCCTTTCTTACTCTTACCTGCACGTAGTGCTCGCTTGATGAGAATTTATTGTATCCTAAACTTCTGTCCTTCTACTCACCTAACCCTCTCGACGAGCTTGCGGCTAAAGCATTTCATTGCCGACAACGATGCTGCACGCTGTCCTGTTCGTGCGTTGATGAATAAACCTCGAGTGATTGATTGATTGATTGATTGATTGAAACGTCCTGTGAGCGCAGGCTGTTACAGCTCTGGTTACCTGCTGCCCTTCCAGGTGCTCGCTGGGACAGTCAGAGCGGCCTGATGGCGGAGGCCCACCTCAAGGACCGGGCCCCCGCCCTGCCCGTGCTCCTCCTGCGGGCCGGCCCAGCTGACCGGCAGGAGCCGGCCGCCGCCTACGAGTGTCCCGTCTACAGGACCAGGGCCCGCGGGCCCACCTACGTCTGGACCTTCCCCCTCAAGACCAAAGAGAAGCCCGCCAAGTGGGTGCTGGGAGGCGTGGCGCTGCTGCTGTCTGTGTGACACCGGCGGGACATCCCTGCAGCAGGAATCCCAGTGGCGCCGGGGAAAAGCAGTTTCGTGAAGAAAACAGGAGAAATCCGGGAGAATTAAAGAAAGACTTTTATTGAAATAAAATGAAGTTTACAAAGAAACACGGCGGTCTTTAATTAACATTACCTAACAGTCCGACCACATAAATTTACAATCCTCAGGACCACTGAAGCTGCCATAACAAATTTTAGGTGGGTAACTGCGTCAGCATGCGCAGGCTGCAAAGGAACAAGTAATGGGTTTATTCCAGGCTGAAAAGAGAAGAAAGAAAACAGTGTGTGAGCCACCTGAAGAAGGCTCCACAGCCGAAACGTTGTGTTCTCTTTTCAGCATGGAATAAACCTATTACTTGTTCCATAACAAATTTGAGCACTTAGCAGTCCTAGTAGGAGGAAAACGCAGCCTTGAAGCATTATAGTTTTAAAGTGCAAAAGTCAGAGGGAAATAACAGGAATCTGGTCATACATTTGCCAAACAAAATAAAAGTGCAATAGGCTCTTGGCTCTATTCACAGATACAGTATATAAAACAAGAATCAATTCACAACTTGCCTACTGTTTGATAGCATCTGCTGGGCTTTTAAATGCTAATTTATTGGAATCCTACTGTTTGTTCTTTCTATACATGGGAAAAAAGCAAACGAACTCTTGAAAGAAACGCTCAGAGCAGCTGACTGTCTGTGTCTAACGGAACGCTGCTCCGACAGTCGGCGCCAGGCAAGAGCAGCAGGTGGAGCAGTCTGCTGGGCTGTGGCATCCCGGTCACACCCACTTGTGCTTCAGAATCGTCAGTTTTCATCTGTCAGGTGTTTCTGAAGACTGAAAAACAAAATTGTAGGCAAGCATGTCAGTAGCAGCAAAACATCCAGGGTGTTCAGTCCCAGTCCTGGGAGGGGGCAGCCGTTCCAGACCTCTTAACAGCTGTAGCTGTAGGGCTGGGAGAAGCTGGTCCAGCTCGTTAAGGGGTGAGATGGAATGGAAGCCCACACCAGTCCTCCAGGACTGGACGCCCCTGGACAAACACCCCACATCCATTTAAACCTGTTGGTGGAGACAGTCCAAGCTTTCAGTACCCTGACATGAGGCTGATCTGCTCACTGGCTGAGGGTACGTTCCTGCTTTTATGTGCGGAAACACGGGGACAGTCACTAACCTCTCCAGGTACTCCCTCACGTTGTTGTGCCCGTAGAACTTGGCCATGTGGATCAGGATGCCCGTGGCACAGCGCCCATCCCTCTTGCGACAGAAGCTGCAGTTGCAGATCCCCCGGCAGGGAGGACACACCCAGAGCTACAGGAGAGAGAGAGAGGAGGCCATGACCCTCGGTCACCAACCTGCCCTCCTGATCCCCGGGTCGCTTTCAGAACCCCACCCTGCCGGGAAGCCAGCTTGGAATTTCCATCCCGGATGGAAACAGTGCCCCTCTGGGATGCGACTCGCCCACCGGCTCCGGGAGCGTGGGGCGGAGGGGCGACTCACCGGGTCCCGCAGTGCGCTGCGCACGTCCTCCCCGTAGCGGTTGCGCAGGCACGGCCCGCAGAACTGCCCCCTCACGCCCCAGCAGTTCGGGTTCCTGCAGACGGTCTTGGTGTCCAGCGTCTTCTGCCTGCACTGGTGGCAGGTGCTGCCCTGCGAGCGGCAGACAGACCACGGGGGGGGGTCACTCGGGAACAGCCCCCCCGAATCATTCGACAGCCCAGTCCCAGATCGCAGCAGCCCAAGCGCGTTCACGGCCACGCCTACAGAAACACAGCGCCTCGCTCTGCGGTCACACTGAACGTGGAAACTCCATCGGCGCCCTCCAGCAGGAAACGAGTGATATCTGTTCTAACCGTTGTGAGCCGAACAGATTAACGGGGCGGTTAAGAGACGCACGTGCTCTTTGTCGTAGACTTTGTCCTTGCTGGAGTAAGCCACGTTCTCCAGCTCCTCCTCCGTGATGTCCTCCACGGGGCGGGCCTCGCCGTGCTTGGAAGACCGCCGCCGGGGGGCGCCACCGCTGTGCTCCGGCTCCTCGCTCACCTGCGGCGCAGAACAACACGGCTCCCATCAGGCGCGCGGGGAACCCGCTGGCGCCACTCGCGTGCCTATTGATCCTCACGAGGCCGGGCGCAACGCGGTGCCGTATCGCGCACTCCAGAAAAAGCAAGACCCTCCGAGGCCATGAAGCCCGTCTGGCTGCGCTGGGCCCCCAGGGGCACCTACTCACTATCAACAGTGGGAACTGTGGGGCAGGGCATCTCGAGCCGAGAATGGGAGGCGTGTCTCTACACAAAGGCTGGTGGGAGAGTGGAACAAACCGCCCCGCTGCGTCGGTGAAGCCAACACCTCGACTTAAGAGGAGCAGCCGAGGTCACCCGTGCCCGGCTCGGCCCGCAGGCCGCGGAGAAGCGCCCCCTCACCTCCAGCAGCCTCTTCCGCAGGCCGGCCCCCCGGCTGGCGCCCCGCAGCTGCTCCAGGATCTTGCTCGGGGACACGGGGAGGCGCTCGATCCCGAAGTGCTCGGGGGGGCGCGCGCTGCGGGAGGGGTTCCTCCGGCCGCTGGGCGCCTCCGAGCACGGCTTCTTCGGAGACTTCCTTTTTTTCTGGGCAAGAGGGAAGAAACGACTCTGAGGTTGCTTGGGGGGGGATACAAGAGTATAACAGTACAATAGTAGATGGGGGGGGGGGCGGTGGCCCTGTGACTAAGGATCTGCGCCTGTGTCAGGAAGGTTATCAGTTCGTATGCCGCGGCCGGCAGAGGAATCCTACTCCGTTGGGCCCCTGAGCAAGGCCCTTCACCCCAGCTGCTCCAGGGGCGCCGTATAAACATCTGACCCTGCGCTCTGACCCCCAGCTTCTCTCTCCCTGTCTGTGCGTCTCATGGAGAGCAAGCTGGGGTCTGTGACAACACAAATTCCTAATACAAGAAATTGCATATGACCAATAAAGTGATCCAATCTTATCTGAGCACCCCGTCCTCCCGAACAGTCCTCCGATATTTCACGCTTCCTGTCCCTGCTGCAGGCTGGGAAACAGGGCTGCCTGCTGCACGTCTCTCGAAGGGGACGGACGGACCGTCTCAGCACAGCTGAGGACCGGGGACAGGAGCGCCGCAGCCCCGAGCACGCCGCGGGGCACCAGGGCGCTGCTCCACGGGTACATGAGGGCCTGGTGCGATAACGCCCCTGAGCCACACGTCCTGGGCTCCTCCCGAGGAGGGGCGCAGTCAGGCCCAGGGCACTCACCGTGGGCGTCTTCACCGGGAACAGGTCAGGCATCGCGTTCAGCTCCGCCAGCAGCTTGGCCAGCTGCAGGAAAGAGACCACAGAGAGAGTGCGAATGCTGCCGGCGCTCGACACGGGACAGACGGGCGAGCCGGAGGGGCGGCTTCAGGGGGCGCGTTACCATCTCTTTGTTCTCTTTGATGTTCTTGGCCCGTCTCTGCAAGGCGCTGGGCTGGGCCCCGGCGGGGCCCCCCTCGTCCTCGGACTCGGAGCCCGACGCAGCCCGGTCCCGGCGCCCCCGCCCCTCTGCCGGCTTCCGGCCGGGGCGGCTCTTCTTCACGGGGAAGCGGAAGGCCACGCAGAGGCCGGAACTCCTCCTCCTCGCCGGGGCCTCCGCCTCCGCCTCGCCCTCGGAGCAGAATCCCTCCTCCTCCTCCTCCTCCTCTTCCTCGCTGTCCTCGGTGGAGTCCATGGACTGCAAGACACAGCACCCTGCTCACGCTTCTCGAGTCCTGACCACCACGGTTCATCCCGCAACACCGGGGCGTGAACCCGGGTCTCCGGCCTCACGCAGCAGGGAGCCAGCGGAGGGAGCTGAAGGAGACCCCCACCTGCGCGCAGGGAGAGCAGCACGAGCGTGATGGCGCTTCAGTGGACCAGGCAAGTAACTCCAGCAAGGAAAAGAGAAAGATCGACGTTTCATCCAATCTGAACTGAAAGAGGCGCCTGGCGAGCCGAGAGCAGGAGAAACTACAACTCCCATGATCACCCCTGGAACGCCAAAGGACTACAGCCGTCTCAAGGCCGGGCGTCTTTTTTAAAACCATAAGTAAATAAGTGAACACCTGGGTCTAAAACCTCCGAGGTGTGCAAGAGGCCCCTTTCCCTACGCTAGAGGCCTAGAAGAGTTCAGCCGTTAAATCCAGCCACCTGCACCTCTGTCGTGTCACACACGGTCCACAGACAGACTGCATGACGCAAGCGGTATTCCTCATCTGGCGCTTTCTCAAGGAAATAATAAATTGGGGCCAGCAGAATATTTAACGGGTTAAAGCACACAATTCATTTTTGTCCTTACATAAATATTCCAACCCATAAGAGCTGCGACAACAGTGAGGAGGAGGGGGTCGGGACTCTGGACTTGCAACTGAGAGGTTGCGGGTTCGAGTCTCAGGCGCGGCACAGCTCTCGTACCCCCCAGAGCATGGCACCTCACGCAGACTGTTCCCGCTGTCGAAACAGGTACAAACGCTTTGGTCGCTTTGGTCAGACGTGCCAGATAACAGACTTAAGAACAGCGAGCGGCCCTCATTCCGTCCTCAGGCGTGGACAGGGGAAGCCGGAGAGCACCTCCGTACCATGGACTTCATCCTGTGGTTGAGCTCCAGCTCCGCCTCCGTGAAGCCCTCAAACTCCTCCTCCTCGGGGTCGGTGTCCTCCGCGAAGATCTTCGCCAGCTCCTCGGTGATGTACTTGGACCGGAACCGCAGGGCCTGGGGAGCAGAGTCACGAGTCAAGACCAGGCCTGAGCCGCGCGCCCGACTCCGGCGGTCTGCCTCCGCTCCACACGGAGCCCCCAGAAAGCCGACACAGCCTTTCCACAGCAGCAGGTTCTGCAGTCTCATGAAAAAGCCCGAGATCGAGACGCAGCCGACCGAGATTTCATCTTCGTTTACACATCGTTGCACACCAGCTCCAAGCGAGAAACAGATACCCCAACTTTCTGGAAAACAATAATCCGCGGACGGAAAACCCCGACAAACGGGCTGGACAAGCGGACCGGTGGGGGTGGACGGACCTGGGCTTCGCTGTGCTGGAGAGGTCTGCACTAACGCAGCGCCCTGGACACCGATACCCCGATACCCCGATACCCCGCTGCTCCACTTTCACGAGCGACGCTCGCCGCCCTGGCAGGTGAGGGGTTAAGTGAGAGTCTGGACGGCTGGTTCCCATTCCAGCTCCTTTCCGGTGCTCTCCCCCTCTGAAGAGCCGACTGCGCACAGCGGCACTGGAGCCTGTCCTGCGCAGGGCCGTGTCTGTGGGGCTCACTGCCCAGGGCCAGCGCAGACTCCCCGACTGTCACCCACTTCAAGGCATTCCTAAAGACCTTCCTTTATCTTCGCTGCAAGATTGATTCTTTTTTTTTGCTTCTGCCGCCTTTCGCGTAGACGGAACAGCGCTCAGGAGCTTCCTGAGAAACGCTCACCACCAGACTCTTGTCTTTTACCAGCGTCCTCGCTTCTCCCATTATAAAACCCTGAACCGAGCTCCAGAGCGAGAAGGGCGCGCCACTGCTCTAACCGTCATGAGGATGCCAGCCAGCCAGCCAGCCAGCTGCTGCTCTGAAGGTCCTAGAGAACGGGCTTCAGCAGCACCGGGCCACTAGATCCGGACAAGACACCTGCCAGCCCTCGCCTACTGACCGAGCAGGTACCTACCCTCAGCCAGTGAGCGGATCAGCTGCATGTCAGGGTACTGAAAGCTTGGACTGTCTCCACCAACATGTCTAAATGGACGCGGGGTGTTTGTCCAGGGGCGTCCAGTCCTGGGCCCGGTCCTGGAGGACTGGTGTGTCTGTGGGCATCCATTCCATCTCACCCCTTAACGAGCTGGACCACTGGCCACCAGCTCACCTGGACCAGCTGGCCAGCTTCTCCCAGCCCTACAGCTGCAGACTCACCGCCCCCCCACCCAGGACCGGGACCGGACACCGGACACCCCTGCGCTAGCGGGCTCCGCCACTCACCGCCCGGAGGCTGTCCCTGCTGGCCTCGGAGCAGGCGGCGTCCCTCGGCAGGGACCCCCGGAAGCCCTCGAAGTCCTCCTCGTCGCTGGGGGTCTCAAAGATGTCAGCCAGCGCTCTCGGGACCTGGTGTCGGCGGGAGACGAGAACAGACCGCGGGGCCGTGAACCCGGGCTCGCCCAGACATGGGGAGGGGCACGCCGGCTCGCCTCTCCAGAGCCCGCCGGGCACGCACGGTACCGCGCGTCCCGCTGCCCGGTCGGCCCGGTCTTTGCGTTTTTGTGGCTGTACGAGAGTTTAAAAGAAAGTCCAAGCGTTCACACGGGGGGGAGAGAGAAACTTTCTGCAATTGCAGCAGCTCGGGTTCCTGGAAAGATACAAAAGTGCCCTGCAAACGCGCTCGGACAGCAATGCAACAGGCTCGGTTACAGACATTTTCTTTCTTTACAATTGTGCCTGTGCGGGAATGTATTGTTAGATAGATAGATACTTTATTGATCCCGTGAGGGAAATTGCAGTGCAACAGCAGCTTAACACAGACAACACAGCACAGTGTAACGAATTATATAATAATAGTACAATACATACAATACAATACAAGAGTTACTCACAGTCCGGACACACAAAGAACAGACTAGAACAGAACAGTACACAGAAAAATCATATCACACATATGAATATAAATATAGATGTAACCATAGATATAAATATAAATATAAATGGGTTATCGAGGTACAGTACAATCATTCGTTTTTTTTGTTTTTTTTTTAACGGGTAGGAAAAAAAATGCTTCCTAAACCCACAACCCCCTTTGTTTCCACTTTGTGCATACTTGCCCGTGTGTATATATATATTTAAAAAAAACAACCTCCGAAAACCGAGCTGATCCGGATCCGAACCCAGACCCGGACCCGCTCTGCAGAGGGGCTGTTTCGCGCCCACGGAAAGTTTCTGTGAACCCGGGCCACACGCGGCTGGAGCCGACGAAAGCGGAGGAGAACAAGACAAGGGCGTTTTAGCCAGCTAACCGTGCTGGAGTACAAGAGGAAACTCACCGTTGCGGACACCGGCATTTTAAACTTTAAAGACGGACACGGTCGCAGCGCCCCAGACACGCGTCTCTCTCACACACACACACGGCGGGCCGCCGCACGCCCGGCGGGAGCAGGGGGGGGAGCGGGTTCGGGCGTGTCGTCAGCCTCCGAAAACCTGTGCGAGACCCGCTTCCATTTCCTCCTTTTTCTTTTTTTTGGTGTATTTCTCGGTTCTGTCCCGGGGGGCACGAAACGCGTTTGCGAACGTGGACGGCGCTACC